AGTGGCTGCTTGTGCTGGCAGGACCAGGCTTTCCTTGGCTGTTTAATTCCCTGGGGAGGGGATGAACACCAAACTGAGTGCCAGGAGTTGGATAAATGTGCAGGTCACAGGGCTTTGGGGCAGCTGCATCCCAACAATATGGTTGTGAGCAATTAGATGTTGGTTTGCTTTCCAGAAAACAACCCCCTGAGTAGAGGCAAATGAACCCTCCTGGGGGCTGGGCATGGATTTATTGATATCAGAAAGCAAATATCTATTTTATTAACTGCTCTTTTGCCAGGAATAGGCATGTTTTGAGTGCAGACAGCCCTGCTGACGTGGAGCAGGTGAGTGGATCTCCAGGGCTGAGTCCTTGGCACTTCATCCCTTTGGCACCATCCTTCCCGAGCCCGCCGGTGTCCGGGGCTGCGGGGAGGGGTCCAGCAGCTCTGCACCATGGCTGGGCACTGGCATAAGGGTGTTGTACAGATGGCAAAGCACCACATTTCATCCACTTTTGTGTGTAAAACGGGTTTATTGGGGGAAAAGAAGGCATCGTGGCCCCGGTGAAACAGTGACCTCCCAGCCAGGCGCGCTGGGGATGGGAAGGGAGAAGCAGAGCGGGCGTTTGGCTGTGGAGGGAAAAGGTCCCGCTCCTTCCTGGGCGGATTTTGGCAAGGTTGGTGGGAGGTGGATAATTAGAGATGGCTGAAGGAACATTGTCTATATGTTCCCAGGATTAAAAGGCCGTGTACACAGACACGCCGTGCCGTCGGCCGGAGCCGAGCGGGAATCGAGCGCGGAACTGCTGGCACGGGCGAGCTGCCTGCCAGTGAATCACTTTAATGCTCCATTTTCAGAGGCACAAACACGCAGGTTTACAGTAACTGTGCATATGTTGCATCCCAGTGCTCCTCATCGCATCCACTGACGCTCCGTGGGTCGTAAAAATTAAACGGGCATAAATCCATCAGCACCGGGGCTCTTCCCCGAGCGCCATAAATCCCACAAAAACTAATTAAGTAGGACAATGGTGCCCATTTAAAGCTGGCATGCAGAACCACGAGCTATTATCGTGGCGAAGACAAGGCTCAAAATCCATTTGGGAGGCCAAGGGCAGCCCAAGTGCCCACGCCAGAGGGCTGGAGTTGGGCACGTCCCAGCTCTCCCCAGCCCGCGGCTGCTGCCTGGCAGAGTTAAGAGATTGTGTTAAGCTCCTAAAGACTGAGTTCTCCTCCGCTCTGCTTCTGAAATCAAATCATCCAATTAACATATGTGCTGGAGTTCGGTGCTCGAAATGTTATCTGGCAACTTGAGAAGCTTTTTGTTATTGCCTTTTTTTTTTTTTCATTTTTGGGGTGGGAGTTGTTCGTGGAGCGAATGCTTTCGTCGCTGTCGAAGGGGAGTCTGTTTGCTGTTCTTCCTTAGGCTCATTAAAGCCTCCAAAGGAGGGATGTTACTGGGGATTGGTGTCGCGATCCGAGTTAACACTTGTCTGGGGTGCTACAAGTTTGCACATCTGCAGGGTCTGTTGTGGTTTGAGTTGGGTTTTTGTGTCGGAAAGGGAAGGGAGACTGAGGCAGGGAGTGGGCTGCCACCGTCTGTGAGTGTTTATTCCAGCAGGGAGCTGAGCCCAGCTTTACCCACAGCATTGGCAACTCCTGGCTCCCTTTCGGGGGTGAAAGAAGAGTTTCCACCCCAGTGAAACCCCCTTCTCACTGGTTTTGAGGAGTTTGACATGACACACCACCGGTAGCTTTAAATGTACAACCTGGCAAATGTCCTGCAGCTCTTGGGTTCATAAATCACACTCCCAAGGGTGCTGGGAGGGAGAGCTGAGCTCTCAGAGCCAAGCCCAGCTGCCGTCTCCCCGTCACTTCATGGGGAGAAATGTGTCCTCTCTGGGATCAGACCTGCTGGGGCACCCCAGGAGCTGGGCAGGGGGGAGCCCTGGTCCTCACTGGGTGTTTGGGGGAGCCTTTTGAGCATTCCCAGGTGTCTTCTGCTGCCCTGACCTGCTCCTTCTCCCTCCCATCTCCACTCTGAGTTTGTGCAAGACTTCAGAGCTGAGGAACCATCAGACTCCACGATCTTAAGGTTATTATCCAACCTAAATGACGCCATAATTCTATGAAAATGCTTGTCCAGCTCTTCCCAAAGGAGCAGAAGGCTCAGGGGCTTAGAGACAGGTTGCCCTCACTCTCCTGGCCTGCCCCTCTGCTTTCTGCCTCTTTTCTGACCTCCCTGACTCTGAGGAGCTGAGGAGAAAAAGGAAAGAAAGGGTTTGAGAAAGGGGGAAAAATCATGAGCAGGCACATAATGTCATTCCCTGTTTTCCAGCCAGTCCCCAGTGGGATCTCACAATCACAGGTGGGAGAGTGAAAGGTCTGGGAGCAAGACACCCTCTGTCTGTAGGGGACACACTCACCCTCATCTGGGAGAAGGCCCTGGCTGGGTGTTGGGGTATCACCCAGAATCTCCTTTTCTCTCCTTGTCCCCTTTGCAAGGAATGCCGAGGTGTCTGTGGGGAATGCCGAGGGGATGGGGAATGCTGTGCACCCAGAAATGATGTTGTCCCCCAGGATCTTGCAGGCTGGAGCTGAATACACACAACAAATGATGAGCCTTTCAGTGGAAATAACTGGAAATCAGCCTGGTGGGAGAAGAGTGAGGGAATAAACCCTTTGGGGTTTCTCGGCCCTGCCCAGTGAGCTCGGCGTGGCTGTCCTGCCCTGCAGGCACCGCGGGAAGGTCGAGCTGGGCTGAAGGGTCTCCTCCAGCTGTTGAACATCTGCCTGTGTGAGCTGCTGGGGATGCCCAGCAGTGACAGGGACTCGTGCCAGGCAGTCCCCGAGATGGCCTTGGCCCCGCTGAGATGGGCAGGACACGAACACCGACTCCAGTGGCAGCGAGGAGCCCGTGAGTGCTGCTGCCCATGACTAATCCCCAGCAAATAACAGGGCTGTCCCCTTGAAGGGAGCTGGCAGTGCCACACTCCCGTGGCACTTGTGCTGCCTTCAGAGCCACACTCGTCCTACAGCGTCAGCCAGGACGTTAGAAATGAGTCCTGTGTGACTCAGTGCCGTGCCCGGGCGTCAGGGTGACGGTCACTGTGCTTGTAGGGACACCAGTGGAGGGGCTGGAGATGCAGGGACCAGGAAAAGACAGACCCTGGCAGGGAGAAGGAAGCTGGCCCTGTGGTTCAGCACTGGCACCAAAATGCCTGAGGAAAAGAGGGAAGAGTTGGCTGGGGTCCTGCCGGGGAAAGAGGGCTCTGGATGGACGGGCTGGGAAGGAGGGAAAGGGACAGAACCTTCCCGGTAGAAGCAGATCTTTGCTTCCCTCCATCCTCCCCAAAACTGGGATCTTCCCTCCCCAGGTGGCCTGAGGATCTGGAGCAGACACCCTGCTCTGCTGCCCCGAGCCCTGGGAGGTGGCACAGCCCATCATGGCCCGTGTTGGTCCAGCTCTAGTGGCTTCTGGCCGGAGTCACTTGCAGGAAGTCACCCAGCAATTAGTGCTTATGTCCCCGGGGCTAATTAGCCCTTGAGGATGTGAATGCCCACTGGCCTGCTTCGTGGCATTTGACCCTTTGCACGTTGCTGCTGCTCTGCAGGGCTGAGTCACAGCAGGGGAAGGGCCACAGTGGTTAAACCCACTGGCTTGGGTTGTACATATTTAATTGTTTTATTCTTAACTCATTTGTAAAAGTGCAGTCTGGGGTCAGCAGCCTTCATCACATGAGGATTAAAATACCTGAGTTAATGCCAGGACTGGTGTCACTGGCTGCTCCTCACATCCCTGTTTTTCCCATCTGGGTGCCGAGGGAGCACCTGGCAGAGGGGACTTGGTGCTCCCTGTCTGAAGGTGCAAACACTGCCCTGAGTATGGGGAGACAGGAGAGTGTTTTCCTCGTCATGCCAGTGCCTCCAGCCTGCAGATCAAGTGCCCTCTGTTCTCTCCCCAAAATCCAGATTTAAAAGTGAAAAGAAGGTGCCTGCATTTCAGTTTGCTGCAAAATGTCAGGGCACAGTCCTGGAGAGGAACGTTCTCCAGAGCATCTGAGGAAAGGGAGGGGAAGGCACAGAGGGTCTGGGAGCAGAAGTTTCTGAACGCAAGCCTGGGCATGTAAGAACAAGGGTCCCATCAGGAGTCAATGAGACGTGGCTCCCCGAGCCAGCTGAGGGCTGTAGACAGTCATGCCCAGCTGCGTGAGGCTCCCCTGAGAGCCGGGAAAACTCACTGCGTGTTCTCCTGGAGCTGGTTCGCCATCAGCCGAAGCAGTTTGTGTGGGAACAGTTCAGAGCCGGATGGCAGGGCTGGGCACGGGGGAGTGCGAGCGTTGCCTCCTCATCCCCGTGCCAGGCTTGAAATATGCGGAGAGGAGGAGCTGAGGCGATGATCCCTGTAGCCAGGCTTAAAAGCAGTTGCCTTTGCAAGTTCCCAACTCGGGGGAAGGGGGCTGAGTGTCCTCTTCTCCTGCCTCGCTCTGCTCGTGGCTGCTGCTCCCGGAGCATCGAGACCGACTCGCTGTGACAGCACCTACGGAGCGGGTTTCCTCCTGGGCAGGGATGTACGTCCCCTGTCTGGTTCTCGACCATCAGGTTGTTGGATGCTCTGGAAAACACATGGAGACAGGATCCTCCGCCGGCAGGAATCGCCGCCGAGCTCCGAGCGGCTCTGCCCCTTCCCCAGACCTGCCGGGCGTTCGCTGGCAACCCCTGGGCGAAGCCCCTTACCAGGGCTCCCCCGCTCCCCCCGCGCCTTCCCGGCCCCCGCCGAACAGATGGTGCCGATTTTCGCAGGGTGGGGGGGAAGGAAGGAGGAAACAAAGCCCGGAGCGATGGGAGGCTGCAGCCTGTCTCCCAAACGCAGCCCGGGGGGTGACATCTGTGGGGCCGGGCTGATGCATGTGGGTGCCTGTGGCGTGCCGAGCCCCGTGCTGAGCGGGCACTTACGCCTGCCCTGTCTCACTTTTCTTTCTCCTTTGTTGTTTTTTTTTTTTTCCCCTTCCTTTCCAGATAAAGAAGCTCGTGGACGGTCTGCGGGGATGCCGGTGAAGTGAGCGGGCTGCCTCCCCCTCTCTGCCCAGCGCAGGACCAGAGGCTGACTGGAAGCTGGCATGTTGCCCCCTCCAGCCCCTGCTTGGCCACGCGATGCCCAGCCTTGCCTGCCCTGCCTGCCCTGCCTGTCCTGTCCCTAGCCTTGCTTCCCACCCGTGACACCCCCTGCCCTTCCCCGGGTGTTTCAGAGCGTGGTGACACCGAGCATGCCGCAGAAAGCCGCCCCGCAGCCGAAGCCCTGAGGAGCTTCCCAGTTAAGAGCAGTTCCCCAAGAGCCAGAGTTGCCCCTTCCCCGCCCCGGCGAGGACGAGCATCTCCGACGGCGGATCTCTCTGCGCTCAGCGGGTGTCGAGGTCCTGGTCTGCAGGCTCGAGGAGGGGCTGCCATGGAAGAGAATGTGTTCAGCGTGCAGCAGATACAGCCCAACGTCATCTCGGTGAGGCTCTTCAAGCGCAAGGTGGGCGGCCTCGGCTTCCTGGTGAAGGAGCGCGTCAGCAAACCGCCCGTCATCATCTCCGACCTGATCCGGGGAGGGGCTGCGGAGCAGAGCGGCCTCATCCAGGCTGGGGACATCATCTTGGCCGTCAATGGCAGGCCCCTGGTGGACATGAGCTATGAGACGGCGCTGGAGATCCTGAGAAGCATCGCCTCTGAGACCTACGTGGTCCTCATCCTGCGGGGCCCCGAGGGCTTCACCACTCACCTGGAGACCACCTTCGCGGGCGACGGGACGCCCAAAACCGTCCGCGTCACCAGACCCCTCTGCCCAGCTCCGAGGGCGGTTGACTTGTCCAACCCAAGCCCGCACGGCAAAGAGCAGCCGCAGCCCGAGCGCGCCATGGGCTCCCTGTGGACCAGAGAGATCGGGAGGGAGGTGGAGCCGATGGCCCACATTAACGGCGTCGTTACCGGCGGCAAAGGGCAGGACGCCGGGAAGGGCAAGGAGGGGGCTTGTGGCCACCCGTGCCTCAACGGCGGCGTGGAGGACAACGAGCTGCTCAAAGAGATCGAGCCCGTCCTGGATCTCCTGAAGAGCAGCAGTAAGGGCAGCGATGGAGATGCGCCCTCCAAGGTAGAGACAAGGGATATAGAAGTCCAGGTGGACTGGTAGGTCCCTAAATACGTTTTTTACATTTGGTGGAATGCGCTGGGGTTTGGCGACGCGAGGTTGAGGTGCTGGGGAGCACCTCTCCGGAGCTGGCTGCTGTCTGGCACAGCAGGGTGGAGGTGGAGAGGAAGGGCTGTAAGAAAAGGGGGGAGCGGTTGAAGAGGGGAAGATAAAAGTAATGAAATATTGGGAGAAGACTGTGGAAGAAAGGGAGAAAGGTTAGGCATGGGAAACGGGGCAGAGCAGGAACAACGTCTCCTGGAAATCTGATCTGTGATGTGCTGGATCACGGGCTGGGCTGGGGTGTGTTCCTGTTCCATGTTCTGAATCTCACTCGTTTAAATTCAAGCAAAGTCCCGTGTCTCAGTATCCCCACCTGCCAGACAAGATCCATGTGTTGCCTGTCCTTGCTGTCCCGCTTTAGAGCTCTCCGGGTGAAATCCGCTGTTGATTAACGGCGGCAGAGCGAGCGGGAAGGTCAGACCGGCAGGGCACGATGCTCCCCGGGAGAAATGAGCTTCGGAACCTTCTGTGCTTTTGGGAGAGGGGAGGGGAGCCCCAGCCCAGCTCTGTCTGAAGCCAAGGGGACCTCTGTGCAAGGGCAGGGACCTGCCTTGGTGCTCTTGTCTTCTGGGAAGCAGGGAAATGTTTCCATCGAGAGCTCAGGAACGGCCAGCCCTTGTTGAAACGCAAGAGTGGAGCTGCCTGTTCATCCCCTCCGCTCTTTCTGGAGCAGGGTAATTATTTCAGACCTGTTTGCAGGGGTAACAGGGGTGGGGACACAGACAACACTTGTCCCGTGGCTTCTTGAGGACGGTGAAGTCCCATCTTGTGTGTGGAACAGCTTAATTTTTGACATATCCTCCTTGCAAGGGGCCATGTGCGTGGTGCTGCCCTCCTGATCTCCCTCAGCGTTTCCCTGAGCTGTAGCTCATCGCTCCAGAGCCGGAGCAGCTCCCTGTGGCCCTTCCTGCTTTACAAAGCTGTTGTTAGAAGCTATTTTATTTTTTTTTTTTGGTACCAGCTCTCTCTCTCTCTCTCTCTCTCCTCCTGGCTGTTTATTAGCAGTGCTGGGTTGCCTTTTGCTGTTGCCTTTCCCCAAGTCCCCAGACACATTTTAGTGGTGTCAAGTGCTGCAGCAGGTTGTGGCTGCCCTCGGTTATTGACTGGCTGGAACAGCCTGCAGGGTTTGCTGGAGCTGGAGGTCTCGGTTCAACCACGCAGGGATTTGTAATTTCAACTTCTCTTGCTGCACACGCTTCCTTAGGAAAGGGAAAAAAAAAAAAAAGAAATTGCATTCCTTTTTCTTTATCAGAAACAAGAGGGGAGAGGCACAGCAGGGTCCCTACGTGGGCTCCCAGCCAAGGCTGAGCTCCCGATCGCTCCCATCCCAAACCGACGCCCACTCCCTGTGTTTTCCACCTCCCTTTTTGTGTTTTCAGTTGTTTTCACACGGTTTCTGCTCTCTCCCAAATTGTGCCTGTTTGCTGTGGAGGACACAGTAACTCAGAGCCCGTTTGGGTGGTCACACTGAGTCAGAGGGGAAAAAATACCTGCTGAGCCCGGTGCCAGCGGCGGGCGGCAGACGCTGGGGGAGAGCGGTGGGACATGCTCAGGGACACCCTTCCTGCCATCCACTCCCCACCACATGAGCCCCCAGGTCTTGTACATTTGGGAATTGCTGGTTTTGGGGCTCTGCTGTGCAACAGGAGGTGATTTAACCCCCCCTCCCCGAGCCCAGCACGCTCTCTAAAGGCTGGGCTGCCCGGCTGGACGGTGCATCCCTTAACCCAGTGCCAACCCATCCCGGGGGAACCTGCTGGAAGCAACCAAAGATTTGAGACACTGAAAGGGTCGTGCTTGTCTACAAAATGTGCAGGGGTGCTTAAAAACCCCCTCTGGTTTAGCACAGGCTGCTGTGGAGGGGGACACAATCCTGAGCATTGGTCCAAGGTACAGCCTCACCCTTCAAACCACGTCCTCTGCTGTCTCTTCTGCTCCAGCTGTGGGGGAGGGATGATAAATGGTGTCTTTTCTTTGAGGAGTCTCTTCTATATAGAGATTAAACAGAAATGCTTTGAATTCATGTAAATTGAAGGACCTCATAGCAGCAAGTGGGTACTTCACCAAAACCTCACGCTTTCTTTCCTTTTTTTCAACACCCTTAAAAAAAAAATCATGAAATCTACATAGTCTGGGACTGAAACCCCACTTTTCAGTGAAAATCTCCTGCTTGATGAAAAACTGCAGCCTCGTTCTTGCAGCAGGACTCGGTGCGAGCGAGGGCTCAAGCAAAGATGTGGGAAAGGAGATGCACTGCAGGGAAAACTTGTTGAGAGCTGCTCTGCAGGGCAAAGGGCCTTTCTCCCGTGATGTGCTGGAGATGATTCATCTCCTCTGCTTGGGCTCAGGCAGAGCCAGGTCATCGTGAAGGTCTGCTGCAGTCAAAGCTTTCTCGGTCCGTAGGAGAAGTGCAGAACGGGCAGGGAGCGAGGGGGGTGGGTAACTGGGGAGGCTGCTGGACAGTGCCAAAGAAATGCCAAAAAAACCCCAGCAAGCCTCACCAGATTGATGGAGCTCTCGTGCTGCAGGCTGTGACTCCTCCAGGCTGGGGGGAGAAGCGAAGCTGGCGTTAGTCAGAGCAGGAATAGAGCTGTGCCTGGACACCAGGAGGGGGCAAAACCTCATTTAAGGTCAAGCTTGACACCCACAGCTCATCCCTTGACCATCAATCCAGCTGGAGATGCTGGTCTTGGGATGACTCCAGTTCTGTCTCGTCCCCTCCCAGCCTGCAGCACTTTGTCAGAGCTGCTCCGGCTCAGGGAGCCGTGACAGCCTTCGGAAGGCAGAAGGGAACAACTCCGAGGTTGTTCACAAGGAGCCAAAAACTTCTCGCTCAAGGTGGACTTTGCCAAAAGTGATTCAAACAACACCTGGTGCTTCGGGCTTCCAGCCTGTGTTTCTAGTGCTACTTCCAAGGAAAACTGGGAACAGTCAAGTCCAATACCTGAAGGGAGGTGGAAAGGGACTTTTTACATGTAGTCACAGGAAAAGGGGGAATGGATTCAAACTGACAGAGGGCAGGGATAGATTAGATATTAGGGAAAAAATTCACCCCTGTGAGGGTGGTGAGGCCCTGGCACAGGTTGCCCAGAGAAGCTGTGGCTACCCCTGGATCCCTGGAAGTGTCCAAGGCCAAGCTGGACGGGGCTTGGAACAACCTGGGCTGGTGGGAGGTGTCCCTGCCCGTGGCAGGGGGTGGAATGAGATGAGCTTTAAGGTCCATTCCAACACAGGGCATTCTATGATTGATGGATTCTGAGTTTGCTTTGGGGAAACCATCAGTTCATCTCCATCCCCTGCACTGCCCAGGGGAGTTATCCCTGGAATGACCTGGCTTTTCCTCCCTGCTGATTTCCCTGCCTGTCTGTGGGATGGGCTGTGACCAGGGCTGCGTGTCTGCTCCTTGGCTCCAGCCATCTGCACTGAAGTCAGTCACAGAACAGAGCATGGAAGTGGGGAGCAAGGTATGATGAGAGCTGGCATTTCTGCCATGAGGCTCACCGTGGGCTAGAGAGCAAAAATAGAGTTTGATTCACTCACTGCCAGCTAACCTAGGTCTGTTTTTCCCTCTGAGCTCTAGGGAGATTGTCATGTCCCATATTCCCTCCTTCTTTCCCCCCTCGCCACCGAGTTGCCAATATTTATTTTCCTTCTCAGGTCTATTCCATAACATGAGCAGCATGATGGAAACATGGCAGTTTCGGTCCAAAAAGCGGCATCAGCAGCCCCGAGAGGGAGAAGTGTGCTGAGAGCAGGAATTCAGTTTCTAGAGGGTTTCAAGGTTTCAGGCTCCATCCTGCATTGGAACAAACCCCATAATTTCGCAGTTCTCGAAGAGAAAATTCTCTTCCTCCCACCTCCTTCGCCGCCGCCAAAACCTCTTTGTGTTGCTCAAAACATTGCATTTGCATTTCTGATGTCTTTGTGCTTGGACATGAAACTTTCAAACCCATGAAACGAAAAAGGTTCCCTGAAACCTTCCTGTTTGTGGCACTCTGGAAATGGATGCAGGGAACTTTGGAAGGGAACAACCCTCCCCTTCTCCCTTGGCCGATTCTCCTTCCTTGTCGCTCTGACTCCATCAGGCTGATCCACAGAGGCATTTAGTGCCTGCAAACAGTGTATTCCACCCAAATAAACCCCTCTGGAGCTGCCTTGGATCAGTCATCAAACCACCCTTCATCCTTTCATCCTCTGTGCTGCTTCTTGCACCCCACGGGATGGGCCACCCCACGTTCCCTGTACATGGTCCCAGCAGACAAACCCACAGCCCGTGGGGGATCCTGCAGCTCTCCCAGCAGACCTGAGCTGTGTTTGGCCTCCAGAGAAGCTGCTGAGGTTGGAATCCTCCTCCAGGTGTCCTTTGAGCACGGCTGGGAAGGGACAAGAGTGGCAGTTGCAGCTCGACGCTGGTTGAATTTTGAACAATGCTGGTGGGACTTTGGGATGGCTTGGATCCGTTCCCAGGTCTTTATCTGTCAGTGCCTGCTCCGTGACATTTAACAGCCTCATATTTCATGGGTGTCTCTGAAACCCCAGCTCATTAGTCCCCAATCCCGGCACTGGGCACAGCCCAGCCACGCTCTGACCTCCTGAGGCTGCAGAACCTTCTTCAGGCCATGCCACGAGCTCACCGGGAGGCTTTTCCCCTCCTCTGGTGCTGTTCCAGATCCCCTTTCTCATTTAGGAAGTGGTTCCTTGCTTTGATCACTCTGTAGTTGCCCACTCCGGGCACATGGTCCCTGCTGCCTCTCCGGGGAGTGCATCCCACCTTTTGGAGTTATTCCTTCCTCTTCAAAATTCCCACCTCCTTCCCGAGCTCTGCTCCATCCTCTCTGCACTCTACAAATCCCTTCTCCTGCCCTACAAATCCCTTCTCCTGCACTACAAATCCCTTCTCCTGCCTCTCCCTCTGCTCTTGCACAGGCTTTGCTTT